TCTTTCATCCCCATAGGGCCGAATAACTTTCACAAAGCCGGGGTTTGTCTCCCCCATGAATATAAGTTCATCCAAATGAGGAATTGAAGCAACTTTATTCTTCTAAAGAAAATCAATTCTCAACAGCACATTGAAGTCATCCAATGGCACAACAATCATGTTGAACTTTCCACACCAATAGCCCAATATCATCGGGACATCTAGAGACACCCCATAACCAGGTTGAGCCTTTGAGTTCATAGCTTTCATCTTCGTCGGACACTTTGTCACTTCCAACCCATACTCTTGAACAATTCTGGAGGCAACAAAGTAATGCGTGGCTCCGGTATCAACCATTGTCACGACACTCTTATTTTCGATTTTCAGATCCACATACATTAATGTGGAATAAGCATCAGCCAAATCATCTCTCGTAGAATTCACGTATACAACTTCTTCCTTGGCAAAATTTTCTTTATCATCTACCACAATCACACAAGCCAAAGTGTTCAACAGCCGCAATGGATTCACATAGGCAGCAACTTCCTGTCCATTTCCTTATTTCACCTCTTGAGCAAGAAGAACATTTTTCTTTCCCTGATTTGGAAAGGTTCGTGCATAATGCCCAGGTTTTTGACATGTCCAAAAAATATTTTCACCACCGGTTGGCCTATTTGTTTTTGACGAAGAAGCATTCATCTTGCCTTTGCCTTTGCCTTTGCCTTTGCCTTTGCTTTTGTCATTTCCATCATGTTTCCAATTGTCCTTCTTCCAATCCTTACTCTTCTTCTTTTTCTTTGACTTAGAAGAAGAGGCAGGATCAGAAGTTAGACCCGTTGAGCAAAAATCGACCAATGTGTCCGCTGCCACAATTGCATTAGACAGATCTTTAACTTTCTGCCTATAAATTTCATTTTGTGCCAAGCCTTGCATTCCGGAAATGAAATTGTGTAGTTTATGCTCATCCGAAATATTTTGGATGTCCAGCAACAAGGATGCAAAATCTTCCACATAGTCCTGAATGGAACCAGTCTGTCTCAAATGCTTCAAGTGATCCCTAGCAACCCAAGACGAGTTGCTAGGCAAGAACTTATCCCTTAATGTGTCACGAAGTTGCTCCCAAGTATCAACATTGGGTCTGCCAGCACTTTCATCATCTATATTTTTTGTATGCCACCACACAACTACATCTCCCTCTGAAATAATGCACCACCATGGTCAGTTTGTCCTTCTCCGGGACGTGAGCAATAAAGAAGTAATGCTCCAAGTCCCATAAGAAGTTTTTCAGTTCCTTGGCGCCTCTCATGCTATCAAATGCCTTTGGCTATGGAATCTTAATTTTGGTATGTTCTTCACCTCCTTGGGGAACATTTGCAACAGCCCGTCGGAGGATCAGAATTTCTGTTTTAAGATCCTCGTTCTCCTTCTGTAATCTCTCCAACTACTCTGCATTAGTTTCTTGGAAAGCCTGCAATTCTACTAGTTGGTTATCAATACTCTCACGAACGTGTTGAAGTTCTGTGTTAACGCCATAGATATGCGTCAGAATATCCACCAAATCTGCTACGTCATCAGTTATGCCGATCAACGCCTCCAACTTCTGAAGTCTTTCACGAAGTTCTGCATTTCCAGATATCATAATTCCAAGATTTTGCCGACGTTACTCTGATACCAATTGTTACAGGGTCAAATTTTTTTATGACATTGCACGACAGTCACACAACAATGACTCAACCCTCTTCCTTTTTTCCTCACGTTTTGGCCTAACACTAAGATTATGACAGCATATAGAAATCAGACAAGGCACACAATTATAGGAATTTCTTTCCAACTTTGTATTAAATTCGTGCTACAAAGAACACATACAAACAGCCTTACAAAAAAGAAGCCAAAGACAGGCAACACCCTGCCTTCACAAGTCTGCCTAGACTAAGAATATATAGGCAAATCTTTTTGGCTCACAGCCTTATCCTATCTTAGCAGTTGACATCCCCAAGTGCAATGGAATTCAAATTTCGAATTTCAAAAGAGACAACTGCCCATAACCCCACATATTCACTCATGCTAAAAAATAGAAAACTGCCAAACTTGCCAACTGCCCTACATATGTGTGGCACATGGGCGCAACCTTCAAATTTTGGCGCCAACAAGCCCAGCCTTGTCATGCCTTGCGTGCATGTCTGCCAATGTCGCATGCCCAGCTCGTCCATGACACTGCCTTGCCCGCGCCCATTTGCCTTGCCACGCCCTGCCTTAGCTTGCCTTAGTTTTTTCAGCTCTTGCTATGCTTTTATTGCACATTGTCTTTGCCTTGCCATGGCCACGCCAATGCCATGGTCTTGTCATGCCTTGCCACGCCCTGCCTTAGCTTGCCTTAGTTTTTTCAGCTCTTGCTATGCTTTTGCTGCCCATTGTCTTTGCCTTGCCATGGCCACACCAATGCCATGGTCTTTTCATGCCTTGGCACCTAAGCCACATGTTGTCGTGCCACAGTCCATGCCCATCAACACCTGCCCATGTCGGACAACCTTGCCAATATGATGCCACAGTCATCATAGGTCCGTGCTGAGGTCCATCATGTAAATCCCTCGTCACGCCCATGCCATATTCGCTAAATCAAGCCGAGGGGCTTAACACTTAGCATCCTATATCATAGAGTTCTGTTATAATCCAACAACAACAACCCAGTATAATCCCACTAGTGGGGTCTGGGGAGGGTAATGTGTACGCAGACCTTACCCCTACCCTGGGGTAGAGAGACTGTTTCCGATAGACCCCCGGCTCCCTCCCTCCAAGAACTACCCACCTTGCTCTTGAGGTGACTCAAACTCACAACCTCTTAGTTGAAAGTGGAGGGTGCTTACCACTAGAGCAACTCACTCTTGTCCAGTTCTATTATAATCCGCTGTCATTAATTGAATTCCCTCTGAAGGGAGTAATGACAACCATAATTAGTTGCAAAATGTACAATAGCCTATACTTAAAGTAGTAAATTCACAATAACAGTATTTTAGTGTGATTAATACGTTAAGTAAATGGTAATGTTTCAGTTCATATATATTTACCCAAGTTAAAGTTATATAAACAGTCACAATAAGGAAGTTTTACCCAATATCAGGTCTGTTGCAGTAGGTAACCTTTCTTATTTTTAATATTAAAAAATTTATATTTTTAGGAGGTTTACCTATAAATATCCTTTCGGTGACCTAACAATACAATAAAAAATTATAGTGTATATAACTTAAGCTCTATTAATTATGACATAGTTTGGCATGTCCGGTATTTTACTCGTCAAAGCATATATATCTATATTTCCTTCTGGACAAAGATATAAAATTTTCTTGCATCTTTTAGCTTGTTTCATTGAGTGTGAATTAAACAATAAGGGCCTTTTGGTTTGTATTAAGTTATATCGGGATTATAATGTATGAATTTGTTTATGCATTTAATAATAATTTATGCAGCGAAAAAATTAATAATGGATAAATTGTTATGCGGATCAAAATGATAATACATACAAGGATTATAGTTATGTAAGGATTCCTAACTTAAGGGCATTTTGTATTAGATGTTCTTTATCCATATATTATTGTTAATATATACATATTCTTATCTCGCATCATATCCTATATATGATAGTATTTTATAAATTGTAGTATAATTATACCATGATTAGTTTGTTAAGTGGAATTTAATACCAGAAAATAACAGTGTATTAATTATACAAGATGTACCTTAGTTATGAGGATTTTAACGGGAAATCACACAACAGTCTGGTACATTAAGCTCCCGATGTACGCGGAGTCCGGAGAAGGGCCAGATCACAAGGGTCTATGATATGCAGTCTTACCTTATATTTCTGCAAGAGGCTATTTCAACAGTTCAAACATGTGACCTCCTGATCACACAGTAGCAACTTTACTAGTTACACCAAGGCTCCCCTTCCGATACAGAATTCTATACGAATATCAAATTTTCTCCAAACAAAATGATCTTTACAGAATACTTATCATTACCTAGGTTGTTATGACAGTACATTTTTTTTTACATCTTCCTCTTTATGATATTCAGCTGAATGAGGAAAAGAAAATTAAAAAATTATGCACAAAATGCCATGCATGCATGTCACATAAATATTCATGTTTCTTGAGGTCAACACTCCATTCTTTTTTCTTATCAAATCTTAATTAATATATTCCTGGCCAAATTTAATGAGTATTAGGAGGTAGTTGTAAAGATACTTACTCCCAACTATCTGTACATCCTCCACCGTTTTGCCATCCCATCTCCTTCACCCATCTGTAGCATATACATTCTTGTTTCTATCCTTACCGTTTTCCTACTTTGGACTTAAGTATACCAGTTTAAAAGCTCTAGATTTATGGTGTAAAAAATATTTATACGATCAATTCATTTCAAAATTTAAGGTTATGACCACTATGAATTTATTGCTAATGTGCTGTTAAATCGCTCGTAGCTAATATAATTTTTTGATAATTTGTTACTAATTTGTTGTTAAATAAGATTAGCGACGAATTTTTATGTTTTGCTACAGAATTTGTCCTTCGATAATTCCTATTGTTGTAGTAATGGACGTCTAAATCTATTTGATAAGTGTTTATCAGTTAACCTAAAATAAATTGTAAATTTGTTATAGTATGTAAATTATAGTAATAGCATAAAATTTATTATATTATCAATATATAATATTCGGACGCCTTAAAAATATCGTTGAGTGTGTATCAAATTCTCTAAAAATAATATATTTATTAAAAAATTCAATACAAGTACAACAATATATTTTTTTTTAGAGAGTCAAAGCAACATAGTTTACAATAAATATGACTTAAATCCATAGTAATATAGACTTTCTTTGTTTCTATCCATTACTGTTTTCCTACTTTGGTTTTAGTTATGCCCTGTGCATTTAACACCCACAGTTTTCTTCTGTTGAGGAGCCTTAATTATTCCTCCATTCCCCCACCTGTAATTTCAAGCTGTCTTCTCATTCTTATTTATATACTCCTATATTTTTCTCATTTTTTGTTGTCCAAACACACAAAAGAATATTGAGAGTATTCACTTCACCAATATTTTCTTGTTTCAATGGATTCTTTCTCAACTTCTTCACTTTCTCCTTATTATCATCTCATTTTCACTGCTTTAGCCTTTGCTCTTTCTAGTCTAATCTTCTTGTTTTCCAAAAAAAACAAATCAAAGAAACTGAATTTACCTCCTGGACCACCTGGATGGCCAATTGTAGGTAATCTTTTTCAAGTAGCACGTTCTGGAAAACCATTTTTCCAATACGTGAGAGATCTCCGTCCAAAATATGGTTCCATTTTTACCCTCAAAATGGGTACAAGAACCATGATTATTATCTCCAGTGCCGATTTGGTCCACGAGGCACTGGTCCAGAAGGGTCAGGTTTTCGCGAGCAGGCCTCGCGAAAACCCGACCAGGACCGTATTCAGCTGCGACAAGTTCACCGTAAACGCAGCGGTTTACGGCCCCGTCTGGCGGTCCTTGAGAAAAAACATGGTTCAAAACGGGCTGAGTTCAATGAAGCTAAAAGAGTTTAGGAATGTGAGGGTAACCGCTATGGATAAAATGATTGAAAAAGTTCAAGTGGAAGCTAAAGCAAATAACGGTGTCGTTTGGGTTTTAAAAAATGCTCGGTTTGCTGTTTTTTGTATTCTTTTGGCAATGTGTTTTGGTGTAGAAATGGATGAACAGACGATTGAGACAATTGATGAAATGATGAAAACTGTGTTGATTGTTCTTGATCCAAGATTAGATGATTATCTTCCAATTTTGAGTCCATTTTTCTCCAAACAAAGAAAACGTGCCATGAATGTACGGAAACAACAGATCGAGACCATCGTACCATTCATTGAAAAACGTAGGAAAATTCTCAGCAACCCAGATTCTGATAAAACAGCAGCTTCATTCTCGTACCTTGACACACTTTTCGATCTCAAAGTTGAAGGTAAGTATTGTTAGATAGTTTGTACTTTCCATTTTATATGGAGTAACACTTTTTTCTTTTTAATCTTTTAGAAAAGAATAGATTTTTTATTTTTAACATGCTCTTATATTCATAGAAATGTCAAATGTCTAAAATCATGTAAGTTTCAAGGATATTTTTGGTATGTGTCAAAGTTCTTTCTTTCTTAATTTCATATTCAGTCGGTGACAAATCTAGAGTACCGGCTATGGGTTTATAATAGTTGACTGTAAATATAATTATTATTGTATATTAACTTGAGGGTGTGCTAGGAACTCATAAATTATAAATTCTGAATTTGCCTCTGTATCGGTTAAATAATGTCATATATATATATANACATGATATACATATACATAGGAAGGCAAAAATGAATATGAAGGCTTTATATATTAAAAGACTCGATATTTTTAGTTTTATTCTGAAACTTGAATCTAAATATAAATTGAAATTTACGTAAGTTTTAAATTAAAAGGACACTCTCTTTATGAAAGAAGATAACTATTTAGAATTCCTTTCTTTCAATTCCATACAAATATTATATGCGAAATAGCAATAATTAATACAATTTGCAGTATACCGCAGCTTTGTTGTATTTTGAATGGATTAATTTGTTTTTATTTCTCTAAACATTATATGTACAATATCACCTTAAGAAAAATTGTATTCACATAACATTTCTTCTTCTTCTTTTTTATTTTATAACAGGGAGAAATTCAGCCCCAACAAATCCTGAACTGGTCACATTATGTTCAGAGTTCCTTAACGGTGGGACAGACACAACAGCAACAGCAATAGAATGGGCCATAGCAAGAATAATTGAAAACCCAAGTATACAATCAAGATTGTACGAAGAAATCAAAAACACAGTTGGGGACAACAAAAAAGTTGACGAAAAGGACATAGAGAAAATGCCATATTTAAACGCAGTAGTAAAAGAATTATTACGTAAACATCCTCCTACGTACTTTTCGCTGACTCATGCAGTAATTGAGCCAGCTAAATTAGGTGGGTATGACATACCCACCGATGCGAATGTGGAGATATTCCTACCCGGAATATCTGATGACCCGAAGTTATGGTCCGAACCCGAGAAGTTTAACCCGGATAGGTTCTTTTTGGGTAAGGAGGAAGCTGATATTACTGGTGTGACGGGTGTGAAGATGATACCGTTTGGTATGGGTCGGAGGATTTGCCCCGGTTTGAATATGGCGACTGTTCATGTGAGCTTGATGTTGGCCCGATTGGTTCAAGAATTCGAATGGTCCGTTTACCCAGAAAATACCAAAGTGGATTTTAGTGAAAAGTTGGAATTTACTGTGGTGATGAAAAATACTCTAAGAGCTAAGATTAAGCCTAGAATGTAAGCGGGTTTTTATGCTTAAAGATAGTTTAATATATTTCCTTATTTATTTTTGTTGAAAATGTTTTTTCGCTTTTTTGGGGGGTGGGTGGTTTGGGGTGGG